TAGTCATACTTGGATTAATTAATACATAGAACTATGTATTTGTACTTTAAAATTTATTGAGAAAAAATTGTGCCTTGGATTTAATTTTTATATAACGTGTGAATAGAAAGGGTAAAAATAATATTATCCTAAATGCAATTGAGTCAAACATTAATTTTTTTAAAATTAATTTATAGGCACAAATTTTGAGTTTGTGGTCTTTTTTGGGTTGGACCAGTGGGTTGAGAGAGACTGTCAAATGTATCTGTTTGGCTTCAATTGGCTCATTCAATTTGGCTTTCAAATGCCACTTTCGTCGAGTTTTCCATAAATAAAATAAGGAAGTTTGCCATTATTTCTTGAGCTTAATTATATTTGATTTTATATGTAATGTGCTTGTCGATGTGCATGTTGCCTATCACCACCTCCACCTCCATCTCTACTATCAACACCATTGTTATTTATGTAGTGGTGAGTCGTGATCACATTATGTTTAAGTTTTTTAGTAAAAAAATAAAAAATATTAGGAGATATATTTAAGATAATTCAACATTTTCAAAAAAAATTAATATATAATTCTATTACTTATATTTTTATTTAAATATAAATTTTAATATATTTATGACATTACGATTTAATTCTGGTTCAACATAACGGTTGAATCGATAACCGATCTACTCAATTTCTTTTTGAGTCCACTCATCGATCCAATTTTTAAAATATTAAATTGCCTACCGTCAGGAGTTGGAAAGAGAATGTGAAAGGTTAATGAAAAGAGCAATTTTTTCACTTAAAATCAAGATTTCATTTGTTATTTTTACTATTTCATGTGTCCATATTATATTATGTTAATGAACTCTACTACACATGTTTATTACAGTCATCAGAGTATTATTGCTAAAATAATAATGCTACAAAACAACAAAAAATAAAATAAAAAAAATAATAACAAATTAATAAAAAAATTATACTAATCCTGGCATTATTGCTTGGATAGACAGTTGGGCCCTTGTCTACAAGCATGATATAGGGTAGTTGGTCAGTGTCAATCCATCCAGTGCGAGCCAGGTAATGTAGTCGGCGGCTTACCTTTATAATTCTCTTTCACACTCAAACAGTACCATGCAAACCGCTTAAGTAATTAAAAGTGAGACGGTTATTCAGTATATTTGAAATATAAATATGTGGTGTTTTATAAAGTTTTAATTAGTAGAAAACGATAGAAATTCACGATCTATGTTAGGGAGGAGGAACAACATAGAACTAAATAATTAGTGATTGATTTAGAATATAACCACATAGTATTTCAGAATTATTGAATAATTTCCTTTCCATTACTATTCATGTTTTAAATAACAATATTGGGATGCCGGTATTAATGGTCTGTATCAAAAAAATATGAACTGATATATTATCGATGAATAACAATTTTAAAAATTTAAAATATTAATAAATCAACGCATAATGTAACTATCGATATTTAAAATCATATTATTATTTCCATTACATTACAAATCATTCCAATATCACAAAACACCTTAAATTAATCTACAAAGAGACACTGTTTGTCTTGGCTCCTAGGAATCTCTAACCCACCTCTTCTCTTTATAAATTACAGTCCCTTCTCTCAATTTTTCTTATCTCACAGTAGAGCAGAGAAACATATTATTCATGGCTGCTCAACATGGAAACTCGTTAAGGGTCTCTATAAACAACACAGTCTCTGTATACCCCAAAACTTTGCACCCTCCACAACTTCTCAGTTTATCAAATTTAGATAGACAGTGTCCAATTCTCATGTACTTGGTTTTCTTCTACAAACCATCATCTAATGCTGACCAAAATCAAAACTTTTCTGTTAATGATGTTTTCGGTAAGCTCAAAACCGGCTTAGAAGAGACCCTGTCGGTCTGGTACCCAGCTGCAGGCAGGCTGAGCTTGAATCCGAACAATGGAAAGCTCAATATATGGTGCAATAATGGTGGTGCAGTTCTAGTTGAGGCGGCGACCCAAGTTACAATCTCAGAGCTGGGAGATCTCTCTCAGTACAATGAGTTCTTTGAGAATCTGGTTTTCAAGCCTGTTGTCAATGAGAATCCCTCAGAGATGCCTCTGGTTGTTGCTCAGGTTAGAATATTTTCTTGAATTTTAGGGGAAAGAAAAAGGATAGAAGAATTATGTATGGTTCTGTTTGTTTCCATAGAGAATCATCATATTTTGCAAGAAATTCTTTTTTAGTTCACAATAAATTTTCTTCCATATATATATATAGCAAAATTCACTTCTTATTTCTCCCCCTCTTCAAAACTACTAGCATAGAATTGATCAGACCCTTTTTTTTTATCAGACCCTTTTAGATTAACTCCCTTCTGACTCTTGAATCATTCACCACTAACTCATCTAATAAAAGTTTAAATTGTTATAGCTCAGATAACTTTATTATTTTTATCTTCGATACATGCAATAGATGTTTCCATAACATGGAGATGTGATATGTTAATGTTGTCATGTGTTTTCGTTGTGCTCAACTTACTTTTCAACAGTTTCTGAATTAGGATTTTCAATTTCACAGAGAAATTTATCTTGTTTCACAGAGAAATTTCATTCGATTCAGAAAAATTTGCTCGACTTAAGGGTTACCTATAGTTAAAATTTGAAATATCTGAACATTTTTTGTGAAAAAATGTTCATCATATTCAAATGCTTGCAACAAAATTTATTTTCATTTTCCTTTCTTTTCTTTCACTTTCTACCATTTAAAAAAAAAAAAAAACAATATTTTATCGTGTGTATCATGCCTTTTTTTTGTCTACAATATCGTGTTTCACGGCACTAGATCATTTATACCTAAAATTCTTGGTATCATGTACCCAATGTACTCTTGATCTCATAATGCCGTGAAATTCTTGAATTTTAAGATTTTCTCCATACATATGTGCTTCCCATGCCATCCATATATATGTTTGAGAAGCTCTTACCATTTAATAACATATGGAGCCAAAAATGGCAAAATATGAAGTAACTAGTAGTCTATCTGTTATGATCTTCTTTTTCATGAAATGGTGTTTAGGTCACAAGATTTGGTTGTGGAGGCTACTCTTTGGGTATAGGCACAAGCCACTCTTTGTTTGATGGGCCAGCAGCATATGATTTCTTACGTGAATGGGCCTCTCAATCTAATATGAAAATGAAAGCAAACCAAGCTCTTGAATTGCATAAACCAGTGCATGAAAGAGGGAGATTGTTAATGGCTAGTAATCATCAAGCCCCAATAGAAGAAACTAAAAAATCGAATCCAACAATAAGGGTTGCCGCCATAGATCATCTATATCAGTTGATAAAAGAGGCGGCTCGTGATCATGGTCAGAGTGATCATGAAAATTATGTTCTTACAACTTTTCATCTAAGTGGTGCAATGATACAAAATTTGAAGCAGAATGTCTTTGGTGACAAGAGAGGAAGGTTTTCTTCCTTTGAGGTTGTTGCAGCTCATCTTTGGAAGGTATAATTTCTCAACTGTTTTAACTTTCTCTCTTGTTCGTTTATTTTTCTCACGCAATAACCGAGTTCAGTTTGAAACCTATTTCATGTGGTATGGTAGATCTCTAACCTGTAACATATAATACTTATCACACACACACTTAGGTTTTAGGATTTTAAATGACATTATGGGTGTAATCATATTGAGAGTATCAATTAATATATTGAGAATCGAGTGATACAATGGTGAATATTTTAAAATAATAAAATAAATAATTTTATAAAAAACAAATTGATCGTGTCAATTGTAAATCACCCAAGGATCCTCTAGAGTAAAATTTCCCTAAAGTTTTCTAGAGATGTGATTTGTCAGTAAATCTCAACCACACAATATAACACTTTAGAAAATTTTAGGGAAAAATCACTCTAAAAAATCCTTGCTAATTGTAAATAGTCTATATTGGTTGTGAATTGAGTCATAAATCGACTACAAACAATACGTATCAAAAGCTGGCCAATACATATCAATTTTCATTGTCAGCAATTTGTGTTACATTAGGATTGAAAGGTTAAAAACTAACCATTTTGTTTGGTTGGTTTTGGAGTTCTTAAAATAATTTTTAAATTCTCAATTTGTACTTTAGTTTCTTGTTGAATTTTGTTAATATTTTAATTTTAAAAAAATACTTTTTAAATTTACTTAAACTAATTACACTTTAAAAGTAATTAGACTATCTAGACAAAATGTAAAAAATTTAATAAGCCCCGCTTTTGAAGAAATGTTTTGGTTAAAATAGCCAAAACGCTATATAGAAGTTTTTTTTTTAATTTTTTTTTTAAAGGTTAAATGTAAATACACCTCCTGAGATTTGCTTAAAATACGATTTGCTTCTTATGGTTCTAGAAATTACATTGCCTTTAAGTTTTTAATTTTATAATAAATGACTATTTTTATTAATAAATCATTAAGTTGATTAATAGTTTTAATGATATCAGAAATTTATTTCAATTAATAATTCAAGTTATTTTGTCATTGTATATATAGAAGAGTAATTAAGAATTTCATTTTTTCAGCTAATTCTGTTAAATAAATAATCCTGATCATTGGGAATTTGTAATTTTTCATATCACAGGGGGTAATCTGCATTTTAAGTAAATTTCAAAGGGAGTTTTTGTATTTGTAATTTACCCAAAAAAGAAGTCAAAATGTCACATCTAACACATCAATTAATTACGTTTTCTCTCACAATCATCTATTCAACTAAAAAAATATTTCAAACACATTAACTTTTTTTTATCTTATAAAATAGTCGAAAAATTACTAAAAAAAACCAAGTTACCAAACGGGCTCTAAGCTCGGGGCATTATGAACACCTGCATTCAATCCAATCAGTTGGTTGTGTGTAAATTAGGATGGTAAACCAGCCTAGTCCAACTTTTGCAAAGGCTAGAACTTTGCTCAATTCTAATTCAGTTTGAGGATTGTTAAAATTAATTAAGCTTGAGCTAAACTTGGAACTCGGTAATAATTTTTTTGCTATTATTTATATTATTTAAATATATAAACGATATATTCATCTTATTATTTAAATAAATTATAAACAAACCAACTTATTTGAGTTTGAACTTGGCTCGTTTATTAAATGAACTTAAAAGTCTAACTTAAGTTCATTTATTTATTTAACAATTGGGTTGAAAATGAGCTGATTCGAGCCGAATAACAGGTTGTTCAAGTTTAATTTATTTACATAACAAGTCGATTTTAAACGAGCTTTTAACTAGTTGAATACAAATCGAGCTAAAGTAACTTGATTTTTTATAGTACACATAAGCTTATTGAGCCGAGTAGTAGGTTGCTGAAACTTGACTTGAAAACTTAACAAGTTTAAAATTATATTCAAGTTTGGCTTATTTTCGTAACAAATCAATCTCGAATAAGTTTTAAACAAGCCAAGCACATGAGTAAAACTCGATTAGCTTGGTTTGTTTAACACTCCTAATTAACAAATTGAGCCACCCTTACCAAGCCGAGCGGGGCTTACGAGCAATTCATTTGCAATGCTAGTGTAAATATATGTTTTTATTATTATTGATATAAAAAAAAAAAAAATAGAGAATTTATTGATGAAAATCAAATATATGTTATATGCATATATGCATGTATGTTGAATCATATATAGCTGTTGTTGGATATCAGGCAAGGACAAAGGCTCTAGGACTGAACAAAGACACAGCAGTGTGCTTGCAATTTGCAGTGGACACAAGGAACAAAATGGTTCCACCACTCCCAAAAGGTTTCAGTGGCAATGCCTATGTGCTTGCCTCTGTTGCTTCCACAGTTAGAGAACTAGAAGAACAAAGCCATGAAACAGTAGCTGAGAAGATCAAGGAAGCAAAGAACTCAGTCACCGACGACTACATCAATGCGTATATCGAGGCACTCGAAGGAGGAGGAGGAGGACAGACTACTCTCCCTCCCTTGAAGGAGCTCACACTTGTTTCTGATTGGAGAAGAGTTCCATTTCACAAGATTGATTTTCTTGGTGGTTCTGAAGAAGATTATGAAGTTGGTTATGCAACCCCTTTGGTTCCTCCACTCCCACAGGTTGCTTACTTGATGGAGAATCCTCATGAAACTAGTGGCATTGATGTGAGGATTGGTTTGATCCCAACAATGCAAACTGTTTTCTCAAACTATTTTCTCAGGAATATTGTGTAATAGACTCAAATAATGCCATTTGAATTTCTCTCTTTTTAACACTGTTATTATGGGTTTTATGTTAGGTGGTATATGGGAATGTGGTTAATTAGATAATGATTTTCAATTATTAATATTATAATGAGATGTGTCAGTTAGCTTTCCCCTTCTTTTTTAAAATGCCATTATAGGAAAAAATAGGAAATGTTGGGGCAGAATGAGTAGTTTAAGAGGGGGGACAAATCCTGTCCCAAATTCCCTCCCTCTGTCCAAATGCATTCCTAAGTATAGAATTTTATTTCAAAATTTTTATGTCTCGAGATTTTTATACGATTCTATGATTCAGAATGTATTGAAACATTGAAACAGAAGAATAGATAATCATTCATCAATAATGATTAAGTGAACAACACTCATCATCCATCAAAACATCTCTCCATTTTTTATGGAGATAACCTTCCATTCACTAGACAACCTATTTTCAATTGGAACTTTTTTCAAATAAACTAAAAAGAAGGGGTTAGCAACATCATTAAGTCCTTAATGCATTGTGGGGCAATTACTTAGATATGAAGAAAAGGAATACTTTTGATATGCTTGAATCTAAAAATTAGTCAAGGAAAGGAGGTAGATAACCAAATCAAAAATGATTTTTTTGAAAAATACTAAATTCATTTTTTTCTTCTTCTTGTTTTTCATCCCAATGAAACAAAAGCAAGATATAGTCCCTCCCATTTTATTTCTTTTCGCTTTTCTTTACTTTTCCTTTTAACCCGTAGAAGTTCCAAACTTAGCCTTGTTTGAAGGATTTACTTGCTAATCACTATTAACAAATAATAAATAAATAAGAAGCAGAAATAAATTAATAAATAATTGAACTACAAGGTCTCTTTTGTGAATTTTTAAAGAACCTAGATACAATAGGATGAGACTAATTACAATAGCCAGCAGAGTTGTTCTCAAAACCTAGATGCTCTAAGTTCACTTGAACTACAAGGTTTTTTTGGTTAATTTTTATGATCAAGTTCAAGCACAATGGCCCCGTTTGATAGAGCTGTGGGAAAGTGATTATAACTTATAGCTTAACAGCTTATAGCTTATAACTGTGAACATAAGCTGATTTTTGACTTATAAATTTAGTTTCTCCTCCCCCACTCAAAGAATAAGTTAATTTTTGACTTACAAAAAGCTATAAGCTGTATTATTAAGCTGAACCAAACACATCAAAATAACTTAAATTAAGCTAAAAGCTGAAATAAGTTGAAAATAAGCCCTACTAAACAGGGCCAATAGGTTTTCTCATTAATTTGGTAGGTGAAAACAAGATTGACTTACTGAATATTAATGTATTGTGTAAAGCATGGTGGACTAATCCAATTCCTACGCACCTACAAAGAAGCACCCAAGAAACAAACTACTGATTAAGGCCTCGTTTGGGAACATGCTATTTTAGTAACTTTTTGGCTAAAATATGAGGTAAAAAAAACTAATATGTTTGAGATGACTTTTTGGCTTTTTACAAAAAGATGTGCAAAAAGTAGAGAGAAAATGGAATCTTTTGACTTTTTGGTATAAATTATCGATTTTTCAGCTTTTTTAGTAACTTTTTGATTTTTAGGCTAAAACGGCCACTTGCCAAACGAGGCCTAAGTTATTCAGAATAATTTGACAAAATCAAGGATTGAATGATATTCCATTTTGATTTAAGATTTACTTAGCAAACAAACATTTATTAGGGAACGTTTACAAATTAATGTTTCTGTGGAGGCCGAATATTGGGAATCGTAGAGATGCCGAATAGTCAAACTTGGAGTCGAAATATATAGCACTCGGCACCATCTCACATGCTCGAACCCTATCCTGTTCGGCCAAATAGCCGGTCGAGCAAGGGGCCGAGTGAAAAGCGGTTTGCTACAATTGAAGTCGAATGGCGAATTGAAAGTGGACCCAATCCCGAGGCCCAAGAAAGAAAAGATATAAATAGAAGAATATCTGGCAGGAAGAGGTATGTGAGAACCATTACACTTTACTTAAAATACAAGTAATTCAGAGAGTAGAGACTAACTTGCTCGTCAGAGTGCTAATTCCGGCACCCCCGACCGGAGTGTTAATTCTTTTTTAGGTGACTACCTGAGAATCACTAGCGTCCCTCAGGATCTAAAGAGTATTTTCAAATCACTTATCCACAGTTTCCTTGTTCATCAAAATTTCTGTGTACAAAGCGTTTTGTGATTATTTGAACTATAAATGAATTAAGCTACTTTAGCTTAACTTGTAAATGCTTGTTAAAAATTTGTTTAAAATCGACTCATTATATAAATAAGTTAAGCTTTAATACAATTTAAAAGTCATTAAATTTAGATTCAAAGGGAACAAACTACTAATCAGTTCGACTCAATTACATGCAGAAATTAAGTTATTAAAGTTCGACTCATGATTAGTATAATTAAACTCGTTTGAGATCTACTCCAAAGGTAAGCAAGTTGAACTTGAATGTATTTTCAAGCTTGTTAAGTTTTCAAGTTAAACTTAAACAACTTACTATTCTTTCTTTTTTTATCAGCAAAAAGAACCTTTATTGATGGAAAATCATACAAGATATGAGTTTACATCAAAAAAAAGAGAGGGGGAGCATCAAGCATCAAAGCGACCAAACCCAATCCCAACTAGGTTGGCACCGAGAAGGTAGCCCAATCATCTGCAAGCTCAACCCCAAGAGATTGGTGAGGAACCAAACTCGAAAGAAAGAAGGACATCATGAGACAACAAAACCAAAATCCAACAAAACCAAGTCAAACACCAAGAGGACTTGCCCACAAACAGATTGCATGAGACCCACAAGTAAGTTCAGAGCAGCATCCCAGCAGTCCAAATAGAACAAACTAACTCCTCTGCACTAGCCAAAATCCTATGACAGAGCAGAACTGTTGAGCAGAACAGACCAGAGGTAGACCAAACCAGCCCACAACCCAAAGCCAGCACAGAGCACACCTGCTGCTAGGAAGCCAGAAGTAGAACAACATAACTCCTTTTTTGGGGCTATACAGCAGACCAAGACAGCATTCTACCCTGCAGCAGATCAGAACCAGCATGCCCAACAGTCCAAGGCAGATTCTTGAACACTTCAGATGCTTGAATCTAAACAACTTACTATTCAACTGAACTTAGTTCAATTATAGCTCTTAATCATGATAATTTGAGATCAAATCATTGGACAAATTAAAATAAAAATCAAGGAGAGGGAGAGGGAAGGGTCGAAAATAGTCAAGTTCTAGTAGTGAATTACATGAATTATCTCAAGAACTGGGACATGACAAAATAACAATTATATACTATGAAAAACAAATGATAAAAGTAGGAGTACTATTAAATCAAACAAAAAAACCAAATCAATGGTCAAGCTAAAAAGAAAAGGAGTCATGAAAGAGATCAACAATGCCCCCAAGCATTTGAGGCTGCAAACAAATCAAAATCAAAAGTTACAAAAAACCAGTTAGTTGAAAGATTCTAAAACATAAAAAGCTTATTAATGATACTTTGTAGATGTCAAAGTCTAAGCAATATATAGTTAGATTTTAGATTTTGGTACCTTCTCTTGAGATGGTCCAGTCCTTGTCCTGGCCAAGAGCCCAAAAAAAGTATCCACCTAAGCTCCGGGCCAGTGCAAATCGGACCTTCAACTTCACGGATCCGACATCATCATATCCGACCCATGATCCACCAGCATAAGAATAGAAACAACTACTCTGTTTGTCAAACTTGACAGTTGCATTATTCTGTGTGTTAAAATCCAGAATTTGAGAATAAACCAATACCCCACCTCCGGGACCTGGCACAACTGCAGGTGCTCCAATTCCATTCACTTTCGGGTCTTGGAGCGTCCATGTTCGACCATATAACGGTAGGCCCATAACTAGCTTTTTGGGCGGTACACCAACTTCGATCCATGATTGAATTCCAAAGGTAGTGCTAATTTTACTATTCGGGTCATCTAGGGCTGAATGCTCACCCGTGACCCGTTCCCATGACCCGTGGTAATCGAAGCACATTGGACTAACCCAATCCACATATTTACGTATAGTGTTTCCCGGGTAAGTTCGGGCCTTGCCCAATAAAGTGATCTTTGTAGCATAATAAACTGCTGAGGTCAAGAGGAGACGAGTTTTTTTAATGGCTTTTGCTTCCCTTTTTAGAGTCTTTCGCCATTGCTTGTAAAGTAAAGCAAGATGAAACATGTCAGTATGATTTTCTGGAAACTCCCAATCTAGGTCAACGCCATCAAACCCATATTTTCGAGCTACTTCAATAGTGGAATTAATGAAAATAGCACGGGTCGACTCGTTGCTAGCCATGTTAGAAAACACAATTGGGTCATTACCACCTCCTCCTATGGATAGTAGAGTTTTGATGGGTGGGTTCCGGGCTCGAAGCGCACCCATGAACTCTGGGAGCTTTTCTTGGTCAAATGTTGTAATATTGAGCTTGTAAGTGGCGGGTTCAGGTAAGAGGAAGGCATAGTAAATGTGGGTGAAGTACGATGTGTCGATGGAAGATGCAGGAAATCCATTACCCGATGGCCAATAAGCAGCTTTGATTCCCCGGGGCACAGGAAAGGGATAAAATGGATACGGGTTTGGTGACAAATAGCCTAGTGATTTAGTGGCCGGTATTGCTGGAGAGATTGAATCACAATCCATGATGGTTATACAAAAGAGTGCAAGAACTATTAGTGATGTCAATTTTTTGATAGCCATGGATGGGATTGTGAGCTGTGAGAATGCTATGACTTTGGTTCAATTTGACATTTACATGACACACACACACACATATGTAGAATGCATAATCTTTGGTTGCATCAACATTCTATGTTGTTTTTGGAGGGTTGTGTTCATGGTCTATTGGGTTTGGATTGAGCAGGACAGCATAGTTTCAATAGTTTCAAACTAATAAAAAAAAACATGTTCACTATCTGAAAATAAAAAATAAAAAATAAAAATTGTTAAATAATATATATATTTAAAAATCTAATCAAATAAAACGATAAACAAACTGCCTCTTGTTCAGAAAAGCTCTTTTAAATATAGCCAAGAGATACCAAACAGTTTCGAGGTGTCACAGTACTTTGTTTTGGATGCTTCTCAAAAAAACCTTTGGATTCATAGTAAGCATAATTTAGTCATTTTGTTTTGTTAGGTTTGTTTTCTCAAAGATTCAATTATTGCAATTGTTGTTGTTCAAAACAAAAAAAAACTTATTGCAATTGTAAAAGTTGAGACAGGAGTCAACTAAAGTGAAATTAATTTGTTGTGTATACAAAAACCATCTTTCAATCTAGAAAATGCCAAAGTTAATTGACAAAAAGTGGAAATGGTTCTTACAAGAAGTTTTATGTATTTTTGTTTTTATTTTTTTGGTCAAATACTACCATTCCCTGCATCCCTTTCTCCTATCTCCATCACCCTTAGCCCCTCTCTTCTCTTCTTGTGCTATTTGTAGAGGTAAGGCATACGGATTTGAAAGGTAAAAGATGTAGAGAGAAGGGGAAAAAAAGGAGATTGGGGATGATGGTATGTTTGAAAATATATGAATGTAAAGAGATAAAATGATAGTTTTAAATTTTTTAAAGGAAAACTTGGTAAAATCTCATAACTTGAGTTCTACATATCTATTTTTGACAAAAGAGATGTCTGTAGATTTGTCTTTTCGAGATATTTCAAATAAGATTAATATTGAATGTAAAATTAAAAAAATAATAATAATAAATTAATTTTTTAGTTAATCAAAATAGCAAAACAATATTTTTTTAGAGTGTGAAACCGCTTTTGCCAATTTTGTATGGATAGATCTCAAAAAAAAAAAATATATATATATATATATATATGTGGAATAAAAAAAATCATTCAAAATGGACTATTGAACCCAAACTTATGACTTATTGTAATTTTAACATCATAAACGATTTGAACATATAGTTAATTTACTTCCTGTATATATCTATCTATCCAAATTATTTGAATAATGTCCCAATATTACAATGTATGTGTTTAAATTATTTTAAACTATATGTCCTAAGTAAATGCATAGTATATATCTATCTGTTCAAATTATTTAAACCTATTTATTCAAATTATGTCCCAATATTTTTAATCTGCCTGCTCAAATTATTTTAAACTATGTGTCCCAAGTAAATGGCCTATGTATATCTATATGTCCAAATTATCCAAATAATTTTGACATATTTGTGTAAATTATTTTAATCTATTTGTCCAAATTATCTAAATTGTTTTAATCGTGTTCAAATTATTTAATCTAGCTATCCTACTATTTTTGCTGATTAAGGGTGTAGGACAAAAAAAGGGTGTAGGAAAAAAAAAAAAAGAGTAAATTAGGGATGATAGTATATGTTTAAAAATATATGAATGCAAAGAGATAAATTGATAATTTAAAATTTTTTAAAAGGTGTAATGAGAAAATGTGTAAAGAAATAAAATTTATGGGGAAAAGGACACACATTTTTTTTTTTTGGGGATAATAGTCTTACAAACTCCTAAGGAATCTCAAGACTCTACCAAATTCTCTTCTTAAAATTTTCTCTAAAGTTCCTCAAACTTAAAAGAGATGATTATCAAACACTCCAAACTTGTGCCAATCCTTTTAAGTTATAAATACAAATTTAGTCTCTCTTTTCGAAGAGATCATTTCAAGACTCGTTCAAAATCAAGCCGTTCAAGTCCTCGATCAAGCCTCTTTTTTCCAAGTTTCTCCTTTAAAAGACTTGAAGAAATTCATCAACTTTCCTAGTTCAACAACAAGCTTCTAAAACCGTTAGATTGCAACCTATTTCGGAGATCAAATTAGAAGATCCACTCTTTTGTAATAGAGCAAACTACAAAAGATTGTACTCATTTATTATAATCAAATAAAATTAATTATTTGTACATTAATTTCGTGTCTTAATTACAGGATACGAAATTTGTGTTCACAAATTTTGACATACCCAGTGGAACCTCTCTGCTTCTCATCTCTTTCTCCTAAATCATTTTCCCAAAGCTTTGTTTGATCAAGCATAATGGCTTCAAAGAAAGTTCAAACTGCTTCGATTAACAAGAACGCCTGTAAGAATGTTGTTGTTACGACCAGCAACAACATCACTTCTATGGGTCTAATCATCCGTAGCAAGACCAACGTTACTATTGCTCTTGCCATTCATGGGGTCATGCTAACCGCCAATGCAACAAAGCAAGCGCAAGGCAAGTCTCACAAATCTATCACAGTATTCACGTCTAGGGCTAAGCAAAAGGAAGTGAGGGAATAGAAGAAGCCCACTTCTGTCTCAAAGGATTCTCTACCAGAAGGTTTCCCCTCACACCCAACAACCATAGCTTTTGATGCAAACTCAAGTACAGGCTCACACTCAGGATCATCTCCTAGTAGTCTTCAATGTTCAATTTCATCGAATCACTCAAATTTCTCTCGTTCGGTGGCTATGCAAGTCATGACCACTGGCACCACTTCATTGGAAAAACAATTGGCAACCATGGCTCGTGCCATTGACAAGCTCACAAAAATCGTGGAAGAGGAAGATCTTCAGATTGTGACCTTGATGAACAAGTTAGAAGCACAAAGTGTTGACAAGGCAAGTCAAGACAATTCTCATCCGTCTGGCTTTACACTGCAAGCCATGTTTGTTGAGAAGGTGAACCCTACATCTAAGTCTAAGCAAGTTGTTGGTGAGGAAACTTGTCATACATCTATTGTAAGGCAAACGATTGGTACAAGTAGTCAACCAACATATATTGTTTCTTTGTCTCTTCATCAACTCCAAGACATGATTACAAATACCATCCAAGCACATTACGGCGGGCCCCCTCAAAGCGCTTTAATATACTCCAAGCCTTATACAAAGAGAATAGACATTCTTAGAATGCCTAGTGGATACCAACCTTCAAGTTCCAGTAGTTCGATGGAAAAGGTAATCCTAAACAACATGTCGCTCACTTTGTTGAAACTTGCAACAATGTCGGGACAGACGGAGATCTACTTGTCAAACAATTTGTTCGGTCACTCAAAGGAAATGCCTTTGATTGGTACACTGATTTGGAGGCCAAGTCAATCAACAAATAGGAGCAAATGGAACATGAATTCCTTAATCGTTTCTATAGCACCAGTCGTATGGTAAGCATGATAGAATTAACCAGTACCAAGTAATAGAAGGATGAGCCTGTGGTAGACTACATCAACTGTTGGCATTCTCTAAGTCTAGATTGCAAAGATTGACTCTCCGAGATCTCAGCTATGGAGATGTGCATGCGAGGCATGCATTCGAGACTCTTTTACATCCTTCAAGGGATAAAACCACAAACATTTGAGGAGTTAGCTACGTGTTCACATGACATGGAAATTAGCATAGCTAACCATGGTGGGAAAGACCTTCCCATTCTTGAACAAAGGAAAGATAATACAAAAGTGAAAAAGGGAGGCAAGCCTTCCAAAGGTACCACCAAAGAAGCAATGGCGGTAATCACAGCTCCAATCAAGATTTCAACGAAAGACAAGAAGAAAGAAGAAAGAAAAAAGGAAGGAAACACGTCTATCTCTGAAAGAACTACAAGAAAAGAAGTATCCCTCTCTTGACTCTGACGTACTAGGGATGTAAGAAGATTTACATGAAAAGAAAGTCTTTCAACTCCCTGAGTGCAAATGCCCTGAAGAAATAGGTCATATGAAGGATCCAAAGTACTGCCACTATCATTAGATAACTAGTTATCCTACTAAAAAATGCTTCGTGTTAAAGGAATTGCTCGTGGACTTGGCCAAGAAAAACAAAATCCTCTTGAAAATTAATGAATCAGCAGAATCCAACCATGCGACAGTTATTGTAGGACCTCCAAATTCTCCATCCTCAAAATCCAAGACAAAAATGTCATAATCTACAATCTCAATAGTGAAAGAAATTCCCAAAATCATACAGCTTGGTTCACTTGAACCTATCATTGTTCAAGTTTCAAATCAAGACAAGCATGTCCATGATGGTTTTGAAGAAGTCTTAATTGTTAGAGAATATGAAAGTTGGACTATCGTGACACGAAACAAGTCACGAAGAAGTAAGTCCAAGACTCAACCTTTTTCACTTAAGAAAGTAGAAGGAAAGAAGAACTCTCATCGACATTCCAAGAAAAAGGTGATGGACAAAAAGAAGAATGAAAGAAGATGCAACAAGTAGACAAACTTCCTGAAGAAAATTAGCATACCCCAATCATCCTGCGAGACTTTTATCCCATCAGGTATTTTGGAGATGACTTGTTTGAGGTGGTTTACATTGTTTCAACCATTGAAGGAGATGTGGAACAAGTTCACCCCATTAAGGTGACGCCAAATAAAGAGGAAATTGATGTCCTGACAACCTTGAAAGAACTAACCCCACACTTCAGTTTGCGTGAAGCGTCTCAACTCCTTCGATCTGTACAACTTGCACTTGTTCGAGTGTTAGAAGATCCTAGAAAATATGAGTTTGTTGTTAATGAGCTAGACTATCCCAAGGTGAATTCCATCACTTCTGTTCCTTGTTGCATAATAATCACATTCACTGATGAAAACCTTCAACTAGGTTAAAAGCCACACAATCACCCATTGTTTGTCTCCGGCTTTATTAGTGAACAAAAAGTTAACTGCATCCTTGTTGATGGAGGCTCAACGGTAAATATCGTGCCAAAGTTCACTATGAAGAAACTCGGAATCCCAATTGACGAGTTAGCTTGAAGTTGTCTGGTTATTCAAGGTTTCAACAAAAAGGGGTAACGTGCGATTGGTATGATTCGTTTGAACCTCACCATTGGAGAACTCACGTCCAATACTTTATTTCACGTCATAAATGCAAGAATGTCCTACAATTTGTTGCTTGGGTGACCTTGGGTCCATGGAAATGATGTAGTTGCGTTAGTTCTCCATTAATGTTTTAAATTTGACCAAGGTGAAATAAAGATAGGGCTAGCAAATGACAAGCCATTTACAGAAACTGAGACTCACTTCACTGATGCAACATTATATTTGGATTCCAATAAGTTACCTGAAGTTATCCCAACTGAAATCCCTTTTGCAAGAAAAGAGAAAATAAATGAAGAAAAGCAGGTTGTGTTTGACTTCTCAAGAGAAGACGCATCAAGTAACAAAAAAGCACCTAAGGTTGCGTCACCACAAAAACAGTCTTTATCCTCAAAAGGCCATGTAATGACAAAAGCCTTCAAGCATGTACCGAAGTCTCAACGGAAAGGACAGTTGTCATTTGAAGAAGTCACGGCATCCGCAAAAGTTAGAGGAGACCTTCCTTACAATAAAAGAAGACCTCCAGATACTAAAAGTAAATGCAACAATATCGATTCCACAGGTGGAATTGTCAAGCCTAATTAAACCTCCACTAAAGGGATTTGTTAGGCTTGCGCAAAATTCTATCGAACACAGCTCCTTACTTGAAAGACGAATGGAAGGGTTTGATCCATAAGCTCACAAGCTTCTACCCAAGTTAGGTTATGACTTTGCTAATCCCTCATCACTGGAAGAGTTAAGTCCTGAACTTACATGTGAGAAAGTTCATGGTCTCAATGAAACTCAAAAAAAGTTAAGGCAATAGAGGTACAGGATGAGCCCTCCAAAGATCGAAGTCGAATTCAAGCCAATTGAACCCATTCGTATCTCTGCCAAGAGAAAAGGAAAAAATAAAGATGTACAACATATCACTGTAGAAGAACTGAATGAAGACAAAAGTCCGAGCCCAACTCCTCAAGTCTCAGTGTTTGACCGCATTAAAGCTCTTGCACCTCGAACCTCAGTTTTTAATAGGTTGAGCACTGTTGATAAGACAGATGAAAGTACAACTTCTCAACCTTCAGTTTTTAATAGATTAGGCACTACTAAGGAAGGAGATGAAAAACAAACTTCTTGGTCACGAAAGTTCATTTTTACTCGACTTGGCGATATGAATACATCACCTAGAAAAGGCAAGAACAAGAGAAGCACGACAACAATTGAGTTGAATTCTACAAAAGAGGATGATGAGACTCAAAGTTTGATTCTTTCTTGCATGAAACGCATGACATCACTTGAAGTTAGTATTGAAGGTCCACTTAAGGTCAAAAGGCACACTATTATACTAACTGGAGAAATTAAGACTCAAGCAAAAAATAAAAGGGAAGAAGAAATTGAACATGTTGCTTCTCACCATGTAATAGTTGAAGAAGATTCTAGCTCAGATTCAGAGGATAATGATCTCCAAGAAGCTCCTCCAGAACTTGAAGATGGAAGGCAATCAACTATTGACAATTTGAAAGAACTCAACTTAGGAACCCTAATGAACCTCGACCAATCTTTGTGGGAACACTCTTAACGCCTGAGGAAGAAAAGACATTTTTCAAACTACTCCTCGAATATAAAGATGCCTTCGCATGGACGTACAAGGAGATGCCCGGTTTAAGTCCAAAAGTTGTTGTCCATCACCTTGAGATCAAACATGGTATTCGACCAAAAAAAACAAGCTCATCGATATATCAGACCTGAGCGTATCCTCAAAATGGAAGAAGAAGTCAACAAGTTAATCGAAGCTGGGTTCATACGTGAAGTAAAATATCCATCATGGATATCAAGCGTGGTCCCTGTAATCAAGAAAAATGGACAAATTAGATAATGTGTCGACTTTCACAATTTGAACGAAGCATTTCCCAAGAATGACTATCCGCTTTCCATTATTGAATTAATGATAAACACAACTATCGAACACGAGGTGTTATCCTTCATGGATGGGTGTTCAGGATATAACCAAATACGAATGGCACCTAAGGATGAAGAGTTAACTGCATTTCGGACCACAAAAGGCATTTATTGTTATAAAGTGATGCCTTTCGAACTCAAGAATGCCAATGCCACCTATCAACGTGCCATGCAAAAGATCTTCGATGACATGCTCCATAAATTTGTTGAGTGCTATGTTGATGGTTTGGTGGTCAAAACTAAGAAATTGGAAGATCACCTAGAGGACCTTCGTACAGTCTTCAACTGGCTGAGAAAATATGACTTGAAGATGAATCCACTCAAACGCACATTTAGAGTCACGTCTGGAAAGTTCCTTGGCTTTATTGTTCGACATAGAGGCATTGAGGTTGATCAATCCAAAATTGATGCGATACAAAAGATGCCACCACCAAAAAACCTGAAGGAACTTAGAAGCCTCCAAGGTCATTTGGCATATATCCACAAATTCATTTCAAACTTAGCAGGTCGTTGTCAACCTTTCAGTCGATTGATGAAAAAGAAGGCTTAATTTGTTTAGGATCAAGCATGTCAAAATGCTTTCGATGGTATTAAGAGATACTTGTTTCATCCACCAATATTAGGAGCTCCTATTCAGGGAAAAACCATTGATACTTTATATTGCTGCTTAAAAAGAGTCTCTTGGAGCAATACTGGCCCAAAATAACAAATAAAATAAAGAGTAAGCACTCTATAACTTGAGTCGTAGATTAATTGAAAATGAACTCAAGTACTCACCCATTGAGAAAATGTGTTTGGCTCTTGTTTTTGCTTCTAAAAAATTGAGACATTATTTCCAAGCCCATGCAGTGCATCTTATTACAAGAGCCAACCCAATAAAGTATGTCATGTCTAAGCCCATCCTCTTAGGATGCTTAGTGAGATGGTCTTTCATCTTTAATGAATTTAAGATAATTTACGTGTCAAGAAAAGCGGTGAAAGGGCAAGCCCTTCCAGACTTCTTGGCCGACCATTCCATCCCTATTGATTGGGAAATTTCTGAGAACTTCCCTAATGAAGATGTATTGTTCATAGAAGTCCTACAACCTTGGATGA